GGTTCTATGTTGGCAACTGACACATAGCAAGAGGAGAATCTTTTTCGCGGGTACCCTGGAGCTATGCTTGCACGTTGCAAATGGGAGAAAAAAGACGCCAGTCTTGCCTTCGGGTTTGAAACTTCGCAGAAGCAAGGCTGTAGCCAGCGGCTTCTGCAAACCCGCGAGTAACACCAGTGCGGCATTGGCTCTACGCTTCGCGAGGTTTGCTTTGTGTCAAGTTGACGGGCCGAGAAGCTTTCGCGGCGCACGATGTGTCGCGCATCTGCCTTTGCTTCTTTTGCAGACCTTCTACGAGTTCCCCTTGACAAATAAGATCCATCAATTGGAAAAATCGCAAATGGAAAAATTCGCAGGGCTGGAAAACCTCCAGATCGTGCTGTTTTATTGCGCTGACCTTGTTGCGATTTCAGACGCGGTGCCATGGTGAGTGCTCCAACCGTTTGACATTGGATAGCAGTAGTGCGCATATCACCGAAACGGTTCGGGGCCTGCCGCAGAGGGCAAGTAACCAGACATGCTCCTTGAGCATGGCTGATATGGAACAACACTTCGCATCGTGTGAGCCAACAACATTGGCTGGCGCTGAAAGGCATGGCAGTAGTGAAGCAAAAAAGCGCCGGCAGGCGCTTTGCGGCACAAGGTGTCCAGCACTTTGGGGCAGGTTGCGAAACAAGCCGCGGGTGCTGCAGGTTCCTGACACGTAGATGGGCTAGCTCTAGCTCTTGCCCACACTTCCTTTCACACTGGCGATACTGGTGGATCAATACCCATTGCCGATGGGCTTGTATGGGCATAGATCCAAATTGCTTTTGGGTCTCCGAGCCACAAACTTGTTGGCCAGTTCACGCATTGGCATCGGTTACTTGCAGATGTCCGCTTCTTCATCAACATGCACGGATCCCAATGTCATTTAATGGATGGCAAACAAACGAAGCGAGGGGCCAATGCTTTTGCTGGCCACGCATCCCGCCTCTTGCCCAGCTGCCCCTCAGTTCTTGGCGCTTCGGCTGGCCCCTTGCCCTTGGTCTAAGACCATAGGCCAGCCGAAGCGCCAAGAACTGAGGGGCGGCTGGGCAAGAGGCTGGATGCGTGGCCCTTTAGCTTCATCCTTATCTCCTCCAGAAAAAGCCTTGGCGAGTTGCTTTGTTTGTTTGCCATCCATCCATTAAATGTGATTGAAATCCCTGCAAGAACCTGACCCACGCATTTCGATGGATCGCCAAGCGGAAATCTGTGATGGGCTCGTGGCTCGGTGATCCAGAAAGCGTCGAATTCAGATCTATGCTCTGGTGGATTCTGACGTCAAGGCAAATAACTAGTGTCCAATGCTCAAAAATAGGCCACTCCACACCTTTTGCCCAAAAATCCAGATGCTTAAAAGTACTGTAAAGGACCCCTTAAAGAGTTAACTTTAGTTGGCCAGCTGGAGAAACCAAAAGGACCCATTCTTCGAAGAAGGGTCCCCAGAATCCCCGCGAAGCTCAACCCAAAGCATCCGACCCGGCCGGCAGCAGGTATGTCTTCTGCAACGTAGCGCCAAGGTAGGCCTCGTAGACGCACCACAGCCTGCGTGAGGTCAGTCGGCGATTCACCTGAAACTATGGGTTCAAACAGTTTGGCTTAAGCCACTAGTGGCTGGCCAACATTGAATGTAGATATGTATATATATATATATATATGTATATACATACATAGTGTTTTTGATTAAGGGATTAAACACCTATTGTTTAAACTGGCTGGTGGCTCCCCTTGGAAAGAACCCCGGTAGCGGTTCAAACCAACGTTGCAACCAATGGAGATCCTCTCCTACTCTGCTCGAAGACTTTGCACAGTGGGTTTGCACAGCGTGCTCCGCTGGCGAACCCCGTTGCATACCGCAGAAACCCGGAGTGGGATAAAGCTCACCTTCACCATGGAAAGTGCCCCCTCCTGTCCCACGACAACTTAACGCCAAAAAAAGAACAGGGAACACCAAGGGATTGTCACAGAAACTGATCGTACTCCACGATTTTCCACAAATGCCCTTCACTAACTACACTCAAAGTACCCAACACATCCCTTCCATATTCTCCACTTGGCCCTGGGCCTCCCAAGAGTCAAACCCTCCGTGCACATTCAGGTCGTCTTTGCCCCAGCGGGGGAAGAGAGAGAGAGAGAGAGAGAGAGAGATGTTTGAACAGAAAGTGAGGGAAAGGTGGCCTCCAATCTTCGCGTGGCCGACATGTTGAAACCCTCAAACTGAGCAAACTTTCGGAACATTCCCTAAAAGTAGTCTTCCGGCACCAACAAAGGCCAGCTTCCATGAAAGGGGGCGGCCCTAAGTACACCTGGGGTCTCCTTCCAGCGAGTTGTTCGTTGCCCCAAACCCCAAACCCCCCCCCATGACCAAACCCCTCCAATGGGCGAACCCCCCCCCCAAAAAAAGGCGGTGCCTCGAGTACACCCCCACGGTAGGGTTCGGCACCACCAGCAAATGCGAGGACTGCGAGCGCTGAAACGGGAGGAAGCAAACAATCGTGCAAGGACAAGGCAAGGTCTGTAGCATTCATGGAGTATGTAAATGATATAATAGGCTCATGGTAGAATGTCAGGGTCTATAGTCAGCTCTGGGTGTCAGGATGATGCAGCACGGTTGGGGGGGACACCGTTGGCTTGAACAAGTACCCGTCTGCCCACCACCTGGCTGGCGGCCTTGGGGCCCAGGCCGCAAGTGCCGCCGAAATTCTGACTGCAAAGCAAGCAGGATGCCATTGGCTTGGAGGAAAATGGCTTAGGTACTTCAGATGTGGGGCAATATTAAAACACCAGGAATTGGACCGCAGTCTTCGTCCATGTCTCCATTACCAGGGTTCCATTTGGGGGTTACCCTATTTTTGACCCACAGCCACATGGAGATACCCCAAAACTGGGGCCAGCAGCGCCACGCAGAGCGCGCCACAAGTAAGCGCCTTCTGCAAAGCCTTGGCGAAGGGACTCTCCGAGATGTCCACGGCCAACAGCCTCTCCTGTCTATCCGGCGCGCGTGAGCCGTCGACCGATTCTGCCCAGGCCAAATGTCTCAACTCGGTTGGACCTTTCACTGGGGGCGCCTTGGAAACCATCAGATTTCCTCCAAATGCAGAAGTCACCTGCGCCCAATAAAAATCGGGCAAATCAAAGTCAAAAGTTGCTTCGACGGTCCACGGTCCGTTCTAAGGTCTTACGGCCCGACAAAGCAGGGCCCATCAACCAACCCGCAGCTCGAAGGCTTCTTTGCGAGGTCCTGCCTATGGTACCCCAAAGGTTGAACATCCAGGGTACACACTTGTGGCGTACGGCGTACAGGCTTTACTTGCTCACTTCCGGCAAGTAGGTCGTCCCAGATTTCCAAGGACTGGCAAGAACAGGGGCTCTCGTGTTTTGCGGGAGGACGCACCAAGCAGCCAGAAAATGCGCGCGTCTCAAATCACTGCAAGCGGGTTGATGATCATCCCTTACAAAAGCGTCTGTTAAAAGCCTTTGACCGCGGCTTTTTGCCTTGGGTCAAACGAAGGCGGCCCGCTTGGTTGGCACGAACAGAACTTCGCAGGAAACCCCGTCGACGGAGTCTCCATGTCCAGATTCTGGGGGTTGGCCAGGAGGCAGCAGTAGAGGTTGTGCCTTGGTATGCGTTCACCAGTGTCACTCGGCAAGATTCGGACAGGAAGTACACAAACGCCATTTTTGTTCCAAACCGAACCACTGACAAAAGCGGCCTGGGCACTTCCCTGTTTGTTGGTGCAAGGCCAAAGAACAAGTCCATGTCAGCCTTGGGCGATTCCTTCGTTCATGCAAATCAAAATCCAAGAGCAGCTGAATGGGGACCCTGCCCACCCTCCCACCCCGGCCCACCCCTGCCAAAGCGCAGCCGCTGCAGCTGAGGCCAGGCGGCCTTGATGCTGCGCTGCAGGTGGAAGATGCCTTCGAACCTCGGGGATCCGGACAATAGAAACACCTGAACATTGCAACTTGTAGATGGTGTTGTTTCCAACTTTATTTTGCTGGAAAAAGCCACATGCTTCAAATGGTTGCAAAATGAATTTCTTTTAAGGAGCCCTGCTCAGGCTGAAACTGAGCTCCTTGCTGTGGTTTCGACACCCGAAACTCGAGGGTGCGGTTCCCTTGGCTCAAGGGTAAGATAACAAGCTAAAATGTTCCGTAAGATAAACCTCAGACAAAGCAAGGCTATTTGCAAGATCCAAAGCCTCTAAGCTTGGGATGTTCAACCTGCAAATTGGGAAGTCGAGTTGTCAGAGTTTGCCTCGACCCGCACTGGGTTTGCCTGAGTCGTGTGAATTATCGGCTTAGTGGCCACTTAGCTAAGAGCGGTGTCCAGAAAGACTTGGGAGTGCGACAAAAGACCCGCAAAGGCGCCCTCCGATGTCGTTCCGTGGCGGAGCCGATGCTTCGAGAAAATGTAGCTGGCGGGCGGCTCTTCTCAAGACATCAGAGCTCGACACTCCATTTTTTCGAATTTCCCCCCCCTTCCCCCCCTCCCCCCAAGTTTTCCCCGGCTTTGGTTTTGGTCCAGTCTCAACCCACCCATTGGCTACCCAACGCATCCGGCCCAACGCGCCCCTACCCAGCGGCCAGGAGTGGGAAACGAAGACCTCGCAGTCCAGGCCCTCGGGGTGCAGCCTCCGCAGCCGATGCGTCGGATCACGAACCCGAGCCCAAGTCAGAAATCCCCAAGCGACACAACGGCTCACGTCGATACATATACATGTATACATATCAAGCCATCCATGTTTATGTATTTCTTTACTTAATTATCTATCTATTTGATTGTCTATATTTGTATGTTTACACGCATATATGTATTTACACACACACACACACGCGCGTGCGGGCTCGTTGGGCAATTGTAGCCGGCAAAGGCTTCTCGAGCCTTCTGAAACCCACCAAGGCCACCGCTTTCCAAAGGTCGCACCAGTTGAGTTGGATTTCCTCTAAGTGCAACTGCAATGTTTGATCCTTGTAGGAAAGCATGTGTGAACTTCAATCATGCACCCTTGAAAATCCACTTCCACTGGGATTTCATTGATGCATGTGCCAGTAAAAATAGCTTTGAGGTCCAGCGGGATTCCTGGATTGCGTTGTTCTCAGTAGAAAATGCCGTTGAACACGGTCTCATGGAAACCTCTAAACGGACGCTTCACAGCACCAGTCTCGGAAGTACCTGCGGCTTGCTTGCTTTGAGTAGTACCTATGGTACGGAATGTTTCGCAGAACTAAACCTCAAGCAACACGGGCCTCGTCAAACAAAGACTTCACCGAAGATTGAGTTGTGCATGACTCAGTTCTTCGATTAAGCCGAAAACGCACAGAAAGTATAGAACAACGTGCAAAAAGTCAAGAAACCCCACGGCCGTCTATAGCACGTGGTCCACCTACCCAGGTTGCGTGTGTGAATGCAAAAGAATTGCAACGCTGACCAAACTTGAGCAAACACTTCGAACTTCCAAACCATGAAAAAGCTTAAGACCGAGCCACAACCACTTGTTTTGATTTTTACCAAAATTGGAGTTTAAGGTCAGCGTCCTGTCGGGGGTTTCGTTTCTGCCTGGGCCCCGCGCATCAGCGCGTAGCTCATGCCCCCCGCCGCCAAAGTCACCGGCTTCACCACGTGGCGGTTCACCTGGTAGAGGCTGGGCCCGTGCTCCTCGGAAGCTCCGTTCCACGCCCCGATGTGATAGGGAGAAATGAGGGGTGCCATAGGTAGGTAGGGAATGAGAAATGGAATGAACCACAAGATTCCCATAAAGGAATGGTGCGATAGGCAGGGAATGAGTTGCACGGAAGGAACCCAGTCCCCTTAAAGGAAACTACCAGTTGGATGGTTTACAGGGGTCATTCCCTCATTCCCGACTGAGCACCAGCAAGTTCTTTTTGGTTTTGAAGCTCCAGTTCCTGTCCATATGCAAAGCCACTCGTCCGAAACATTGTCTCAGCTTTTCATTCACCCATACTGGCTGCAGTAGGACCGCACTTGCGGGGAAAAAGACTCTGAAGGCCCATATGCTGACCATCCTGTTGAATCCAAGCTGACCAAATAACCCAAACAAACATCACCTTCGCTTTGAGATGAAAGACAAAATCGGGGACCAGGAAATGGCCCCCTGTACTAAAGGAATCCTCTGACAAGAAGTCTAGCAAGCCCGTGGGCTTGCTATGCCAATTTTCCAGCCAAAAAGAAATCCTTCCATGTCCAAACCGCTACTGAGTTTACTCGTTCAATATTGGCCCATTCGATAGTTGACCATGATATCGATTTCTACTAGCCGCCCATTTGGGTGTCTTTCCTCGAGTGTTCCACCTTTTTGGATTGTCCCCAAAACAGAAAACACATTGGCTGTGGCTCAAAGATTGGTACCCAAAATGGGACCCAGGAGTTTGGAAACATGGACTAAAATTCGCTGTCATACCCACATGTATTTTTAGAAACCCGACCGCTGCCGGGGCGCCGGATCGTGGTGCCCCGAGCTCGGGCGCTCCGAGTCAGGCACCTTTCCGGCGGCCCATCGGGCTGCCACCACCTCCACGAAGCGATCCAGCTCACGCCTTTGCGAAACGCAGTGCTCACAACCCGATCCGGAAGCATAGGTGTCCTTTTTAGGAAATATAGATGACCCTGGCAAATGGAATTTAACACCCATCTCAACCAGTGCCTTCCATTTTTGACCACACTAACCCAAAAAGGACACCTATGTTCAGAAGCCGAAGGCTCAAATCCGTCCTGGAAATTCTGGGCGGTTTTACCGTTTTACTGGTTGAAGCAAATTCTGCCCAACCCTACCAGTCGGCCGCGGAATAAGTGCAAGCCAAGGGTGTTTCCTAAAATAGAGATTCGACCTTTATAAATGGCAACGGTTTGCCTTTGGTTTGCCTTGCAAGATCCACCAGGTTCCCCTCCCCCCTCCCCCCTCCCCCCTCCCCCAATCTTAGGACTCCCACTGCTAGGTGGCATTGCTTGGGTCGCAGGGGCCAGTGTTCCTCCGCCAAAAACCGAGCTTGTCTTCAAGCAGAGGAACCTCGTTGCCCAACTCCAATTGTTCAACTACCCCCCAATGGCCCAATGGGGTACGGTACGATGTTTGATTCCGTACCCTTTGGCGCAGTTCCTGAAAACACGGTTTGATTTACGCAAACCACCATTTCACAAGGTTCCAACCATCAAAAGTCACAACAACAAAGAGACGACCACTGGCACCCCACCACAAACCCAAGTTCCCGCTTCAAAGCGAGACATGGCCATGGTTCAAAACCAATGGTGCCTTTTTGCGATAGGTGCACCACCCATTTAAGTCGATTTTTATGGGGATTGGGATGTTCACTGGGGGCACGGGGTTTTGACCCATGGCCACATTATCGGAAGAAAAGCAAAAGAAACATCGCCGCTGACTCGCATCCCTTCGCTCGCCTTGTCACACACCACCTCTCCGGGGGCACCCGCTGATGCAGGGCCCAAGCGTCGTGCATCGAAGCGCCATGGGCGAGGGGCCCCGCTCAAACCATTGGGTTCATCGGAGGGCTAAGAATCAATTCTTACCCAAGAAAATAAGCAGGGTGCCCACCATTTTGTGTGTGTGCAATGCTCAAGCCATGCTCTGTTTGAACAACCTCCCTTTGGCTGCTAAACGGGGGCCGGGGTTTCCTTCAATTATGGAACCAGCGTCTGATTTTCGCGCAAATTATGCAAGGTCCACAAAGGAACCATTCAAATGTCGGCCCATTCGAATGGGGCAATTCAAATGCCACCCTTTCAATCCAAGGTTTGGGCCCCAGGGGCAACCCGGCAAGCGTGCGGCCCCGATTCTCGGAAGACTGCATCCCGTCCAGCGCCAAGTCAGATTGGAATTCCTGACATTCAGAACGCCGTGTCAAAGTGCAGAGCTATAGTCTTGCACCGCTTTCCATGTAGTGTACTGCAAGCCCAACCGAACTCAAAAAAAGCCTAGATCCTTCTCCTTTGAATGTGACAAGGACTCCAAACCGACTTTTGACATATTGCAAATTGGACACATAGTGATTCTCGCTAAAAGCACGGTCAGCTCCTGCTCTCACAGGGCGAAGTTGGCAAAAATAGTTCATGGCTCCCCCAATCTCCCAGCGCCTTCTTCTCTTCCTTCTTGGCCTGAACAATCTCTGTGGCCATGACAGGCCAAGGCAAGCAAACAAATTAGCGAAGAGCAGCACATCATATACTCGCATGTGTCCTGCACAAGTACCGATTCTGCACAAATCAGTAGAACAATAGATCGTCTATGCATAGATTCTTGCCACCTTTGGGCCACGTCCATTGGTTGATTCCTGCAACCAACTTTGCAGGTCGAGTCCCCCATGGACGAAACACACACAAAATTACTGATAGGCCCCGCCCAGCACATGGCTTGGGTTGGCATCCGCTCCTTGTTCAAGATGAAGGTTTGACTGGATACTCCTAGTTGAGGGCACACTTTTCAGGTTGTTTTGAACAGGAACCAAAAGGAAACCAGCTTTTCTTGGGGGGGAGGGGGGGGGGTTCCAAGAAGTGCAGAACATGTTGGGTGACGTAGATGGAAACATGTTGAGTGAACGTAGATGGCACCGTGCCCCCATTGAGACTCGTCATCCCCTTTACAACCTCTCATACAGGGAATTTGCGCCATCTACTTTCAGGTGGCCCCAAGCTTTTTTTGCAAAACTTCGCGACGGGCAAGCACCAGCTTGTGGTTGCCAAGGGGTGGCAAAGGCTAGGCATCACCGGAGAAACAAAATGCAGTCCCAGTCTGTTTGCCTGCTTGCACAAACTGCTGGCGTCGAGCTTTTCCACGCTTCTTTTGTGCGCCCACCGAAGTGGCAGTTTCAAGAGAGAACTGTTGCGCCACAACTCCCAGCAGTCCTCCCCCGGAAAACATAAGCTGACACGACTATGTCTGGCCCCATCCAATCAGATCCGGGTGCTCCACTGGAGGCTCATCACTGACCCCGAAGTCGCAACTTGCAGTGCCTTCACAGGAACCTGCCCCGCAAAACTTCCCCACATCCCCCTTCACAAGTGTTGAAACACCACCTATTGGGCCAAAAACCAAGCTTCTCATCTGTCAAAGGGTAGATGTTGGGAACCCCAGCCACTTGGCTCCAGGGTCCAACCCCCAGCCTCCTTCTTGGCATCCTTGGATGAGCTCGCGGCCGCTCCGCCGCTGGGCTGGCCCAGGCCCGGGATGTCCTCGGCGGCTCCCCCACGTTTTCGCAGCTCGATGCTGAAGCGGCCAGTTGAGGCTGCAAAAAAAATGGTTTCGCGCTTTCAAAGTCCTGAATTTGATTGAAGTTACTCCTTACTGTTTGGCAGCGTTCTGAATGTTGTGCACTTTCAAAAGCGAACTCAAACGCGAAATCACAGGTGCACTCACGAAGACTACTCTCAAATGAAAGGGTTTTTTACACAGCGTCCCCAGCTCCTCCGGTATCCCGAGGGGACCCTAGTGGCCAGCGGTTCCATAGCTCCACGCATCGTCCCCAATGTGATTGATTGAACGGCTGCACCCCGAAATTCATGGCAAAGAAGCAATCTGTCACAGACGATGCCGCAAAAAGGTTCCTGCAAGATCCTGCAAAGTAGGCCGATGAAAAGAACTCCTCTTGATAACCGAAAAGCAATTAACCGCCAGGCTCCCAAGCCACGCTGTTCCGTTCTCTCCTTGCCGATTGGTTCTTTGTGGTGTTTGCGTGTGGTACCTTGGTCAGTTGGAGCCGCTGTGCTAAGACTCAAAGAGGCTCCCGACCAACAACATGTGACACCCTTTTTGAACCTGAAAACCAAGCAGGACACTGTTCACCCCATCGCCCTTTTGCCCAGGACCTGGCCCACTTTGGGCTCCCGGCGGGGCCCGGCGGCCCATTGGCCCGGCCCTTGAGCCTCATGCCGATTCAGATTGTGGTTGTGGTTGGTCGGTTGTGTGGGTCTTGTGGGTGGGTGGGTGGGTGGTGGGTGGGTGGGTGGGGTGGGGTGGGTGGGTGGGGTGGGGTGGGTGGGGTGGGGTGGGGTGGGGTGGGGTGGGGTGGTGGGTGGGTGGGTGGGTGGGTGGGTGGTGGGTGGGGTGGTGGGTGGGGGTGGGTGGGTGGGGTGGGGTGGGGTGGGTGGGTGGGGGGGGTGGGGTGGGGGGTGTGGGGGTGGGGTGGGGTGGGTGGGGTGGTGGGTGGTGGGTGGGGTGGGGTGGGTGGGTGGGTGGGTGGGTGGGGGTGGGTGGGTGGGTGGGTGGGTGGGTGGGTGGGTGGGTGGGTGGGTGGGTGGGTGGGTGGGTGGGTGGGTGGGTGGGTGGGTGGGTGGGTGGGTGGGGTGGGTGGGGTGGGTGGGGTGGTGGGGTGGGTGGGGTGGGTGGGGTGGGTGGGTGGGGTGGGGTGGGTGGGGTTGGGGTGGGGTGTGGGGTGGGGGGTGGGGTGTGGGGGTGGGTGTGGGGTGTGGGGTGTGGGGGTGGGGTGGTGTGGGGTGGGGGTGGGGTGTGGGGTGTGGGGTGGTGGGGGGTGGGGGAAAAAATGTAGAAAAGGCTGATTCTAGGGGGTGGGGGTAGATGGTTGCCTGTTCTGTTTTTATTTCACAATTCAACACGTGTACCACCTTATTCGTTTTTAAAAGGCTGATTTTGGGGGGGCATGAAATAACGATATGGATGTGGTAACGAATTGATGATTTTGTCCCCTGTTTCGTTCCAGATTTCAACTTTTAGATTTATTGATTGAAAGAGGTTAGGACTTTCTGTGGTTTCATGGGTTGGCTTTTGGGCGGTTGTTCTGATTCAACTCAACTATGTTCCCTCAAAACTTGAAAGGGCTTTACCGTCGGCACCGCCCGTTGCTTCGCGGACATCGTCTTCATTCATTCAGTCGGGAGCCACAGTTTGAAGTCTGTCCGACACTCACAGGATTGAAATGCGGTCATTGTTTTTTCTGAACTGCTTGCAATCCATGCATGGTCAATGAGAGACACACATGACTTGATTGTTTCATCCACCGTTGCTTTTCAAGAGCTTTGGTGTGTATCGACACTTGCTACACCGCCCATATCCATACCATTGCACAAGCAATGGCACCGAAGAAGACTGTGAAGCCTGAAGCCTCCGCTTCCAGTAGTGATACTGTTGACCATGAGCTTCGTGAGCTGATTGAGCTGGCGAAGAACCTTTCCCTCGAAGAGCTGTCGCAGAAAGAGGAGGAGCACACTAGCGTTGCCAAGCGTGCACTACAGAAGGCGGAGATCTTCAAGAACCAGCGCTTAAGCTTAATTGCGGCAGCAAAGGCGAAGGCGAAGGCAATGGTGAAGCTGGAGACCAAGGCGGAGAATGAGAAGAAGCTCGAGGAGATGAAGTCATCCTACCTGAACCTGAACATCGTTTTCCTTCAGGTGAGACCGTTCAGATGAAAATCAAGAAGGGCAAGACCATGGCAACCCTCCGCGACAAGATCTGCGAGCTGACCACAATCACGAAGACACAGTGGAAGAAAATCAAGCTGTCGTGGGGCGACGAGACTTTCGTCAAGTCCTACCGCACCTTCATCTACTCCACCACGCTCAAGGACGGAGACACACTGTCCTTGCTCATACCGGTCACGTCTACTGAGGACAACTCTGAGAGCGATGACGTTGGTGAGGGTTCGGAAGATGCACACCGGTCTGACATGAGTGAGACCGACAACTGAGAAGTCTTGAGTCACACGAGAACAGAGCATCTAACCCATATGTTGATGTTGACAAACGGTCTGATTGCTCTGCTACTCGCACTGTGCTCACAGCATAAACCTTCGTGAGGATTTCCGCTCGTTGTGGTAGAAAAGCGGTCATGCTCTTGAAGTGCGCGTATTGTGACAGAACACTTGAAATTGACAATCTTGAGAGATGGAACATGCCTTGCGTCGCTTGTGTGATACATTGCATGGACTGTTTGATTAAGGAACACCTTTTTCCGCTCTTAGACCACCTGATAGCGGGTTCTTCCGTCAATGACGCTGATCTTCTGCAAACGCTCCAAGACCGGCATCTACCGCCCGAAGCTCGTGATGGTTGGAGAGTTCATAGATGGTGACTGCCTTCAACACCTGAACTTCCCGGAGAACCCCACCAGTTCGCACTTTGACAACTTCAAGAAGGAGGAGTTGAAGCACTTGCTGAACATGATGAGCATGGAGCACAACGCAAAGATGACAAAGCAGACGCTTCAGAAACTCGTCAGCGAAAACTGGCGTTTGATGAGGGTGCGGATTGAGAGGGAGCGAATGCGTGGTGCTGTTCGTGTGCAAGAGCAGGAGCAAGAGACCCAACCGTCGGCATCGTCTTCAATGGAGCAGCCCGACTTGACCCTCTTGAATGGTATGGAGCTGAACACGAAAAGCACCTTCCAGTCCTACGTGCTGAACCTTGGCATACCCACTCAAAGTGGCTCGGTGAATGTCTTCTTTCACTTTGGCAACTCAACGACCGGGAACGAAGTGATTGACACAGTCAC